GCCGGTCCGAGGTTCACCCCTTTTTGTCCCGATATCCTGTTCTGCAGTTTGGTTATCCATTCCCTACCTGCGGGCCATCTGGGTTGTGTCCAGCCCCGGCTTCTTGGGCTGCTGTGGATATTCCAGAGCCTAAGTCCCAGGTCAAGGGGCACACAATCTAGGGCAAAGAACCCTGTGGCATGAGGAATATTAGACCCATTTTATGGGTGAAGAAACTGAGGCCCAGAAAGGTGAAGCCTCCCCCTCCCCCCAGTCACACAGCTAGTTGGTGGCAGAGCCAAGATTCAAACCCAGGTCTGTGCATTCCAGGGCCTCCAATGCCCTTTCTGTCTGGGGCACAGATTGGTTAAACGTCTCCCAAAAAGCATTACCTGGGCATACTTGCCTGCTTGGCTCTTAGCATCCAGGGTCCAAAACAGCCTTCTGCAGGCACAGAGAGAACAGATGCCTCTTTTGAGGGATACTTATCAGTTTAGGAATCTGAGCTGGAAAATCAGGCTAAGGTCTTTGTGGATGCAACACACATTTGTCCCTGGTGCAGGATCCCAGGGGCCAGCATTTCACAGCTTCCTCCCTACCCCCACCTCCCACACAGCACATTTTGCTATTTTTTGTTTGTTGTTGTACTGGGGATGGAACCCAGCAGCACTTTTCCACTGAGCTCCATCCTCAGCCCTTTTTATTTTTTGAGACAGGGTCATACCAAGTAGCTGAGGACCTCACTAAATTGCTGAGGCTGGCCTCAAACTTGCAATTCTCAGCCTCCCAAGGTGCTGGGATTACAGGAGTGTGCCATAGCCCCCAGCCTGGCTACACAGCTGCACGTTTACCCACATCTCTGAACCTGCGGAAATAGGTGGCTGCTGTCCCATTTTACAGATAAGATAACGGAGGCCCAGGAAGGTTAAATGCCTTGCCCAGGCTCTCACCCTGGTTCATAATCCAATTCCTTGTCGGCTCTTCCGAAATCTGAAGGAATCTGAACACCAAGAGCTCAGCATGAGTAAAGGACATTGGAAGCCAGCCTTGGTGGCAATGACTGTGGTCCTAGCTACTCAGGAGGGTGAGGCAGGACGATCCCTTGAGCCCAGTTGCCAACCTGTGCAACATAGTGAGACCCCCCGCTGAAAAAGAAGGAAGGGTAGATGGATGGGGAGGGAAAGAGAAAAAATCTAGACGTAGGCAAATATAAGAACACTCATAGTCTTCTTTGGTGTCAATATACTACTTTTTCCTACAAAATTATTGTGATTATGGGGCCTGCCCGACTCCCTGGGGAGTAGACCCTACAATCTTAGTTTTAGTCACCACATCATTGTTCTAGAACTCAAAGTTCCCTGGCCTGGGGGTGCAGCCCAGTGGCCGAGCGCTTGCTTAGTGGTGCAAAGTCCCGGGCATCCCCAGCATTGCAAAAAATAATAATAAAATTCAAAGCTGCAACAATCTGCAAGTCATTGCCACTACAGCTGGCAGGAGGGCTCCGTCTAGGGATTGTGGCCCGCAGCAGATGAAGGAAAACATAGATTCCCCTCAAACACTGAGGACTAATGAGTTAAGGAGGTTAGGAGGCAGAGCACTCCCTGTTCTTTTTCTCTGTCCGCCTAAAGGCAGGACATAAATCCTCCTCCACTGGACACAGCTTTTATCCTCTCAGAGCCAGGCACCAGAGAAATCTGAAAACAAACACAATCCTCCGGTTTATTTGCATTCCACCCGCTTCCGCTTTTAAGCTTTTAAGCTGCTGCTTTGTCTTGTCCGGTGCTCCATGGATTGTTCTGGGGCTGGAGCTCAGGGGTCGCCCTGCCCAGCACACAGGGGGCCCTGGTTCTATCCCTCACGCTGCAAAAACAGACACCAAACACGCATGCAAACAAAACCCCACAGATTGACTCTTTGTCTAAAAGGTATGAGAGTGTCTGGCTTTGGTCACTGTCCTCTCTCCTGCTCCTTTGTGCAGTGCCTTGGAGCCCAAGGGCCCTGTGCTGCTTTTATTCCTGATCTGTTTTTCCATCTTTCATATCAGCCACAGGGAAATGGCCTCAGGTTTTGGGAAGCTCACGGCATAGAAGAAACCTACATATTTTGGTCCTCTTGGCTCTCATGATTGGATAACATTCCTTTTAAAATAACACAGTCCTGGAAACCTTCAGACAATCCATGGAAGAGATTTTTTTTTTTTAAGAAATTTTTTTTTCCCAAATTGAACCTTATATAGACCCCCCTCAACTGCCCAAAACATTAAAGAGCAGACTTGTTTCAGTAGCATACATTTATTTTGCCAATTCTTATTTGTACAATAGAACATCAACCACAAAAAGCAATGAAGGGTTTCAGCTAAACCCACCTTTGAAATCGGGGCTTTACAAAGGCAGCTGCGGCCTGTCCAATCTACTTGGGAATTCCTGCTTGGAATCTGCTGTGCTAGTGAGGCCTTGACTCAAGGTGGTTGATGGTTTTTAATCTAATGGTGTGCATTGCAACCCCGTCAGACTCTCCAATGGGTCCCAAAAAGTCTCGGAAAGGAAGTGATTTTGATGCATCAAAACCAACACACACTCAGGTTGTGTATCACAAATACAAAAGCTAGATGGGAGACACCCAAACCCATGAGAAGCACAAACACTGTCTCAGGACTGCAAAATGATGATAAGAAATGTCACATTGTCCTATACAACAGTTGTGCCCTGAAGGGAGCACGGTCTGCATGCAACAAACATGCTGGGACCTATGTGGCCTTTATCCAAGTTCAGACTGTGAGGGAACAAGAAGCAGAGTGGTAGAACGTTCTGCAAGTGGATGTGCCCTGGGCGGGGATTTATAGGAGATGAAAAGATCGGTATGGAGCTACAGACTTCTTGACCATGGATGGGCAGAAGTTCAAATATATATGTGAGGATGGCAGGAAAAGCTTCATCCCACTGTTGTGCGCGAACACACACACACACACACATACACACACACACATAAAGACGCTGAGGTCAACGCTTGGGAAATGGGCAGCAATCAGAGTCTTCAAGGTTGGGGTTTGGTTACATCAACCAAGTGAATCCTAAAAATTCCTTAGGTTTCTTGAAGCTTGCTGGACCAGGGGGACCTAACAGGACCTGAGGGGTCTGGCTGTTAGGGTGAGGGGTTGGCTCTGGTCAGGGGTTGTTGGGGACAGCTTTCCAAAAAATGAGAAAGGGGAATGGATGCTGGAGGTTCTACACAGGACTGATGCCCACCCCCCTAAGACACTGTGGGGGCTCCAGTGGATAAGAATCTAAGCATGTGTGTGTGTGTGTGTGTGTGTGTAAATTACACTTTTGAAAATAAAGTCATTCAAACCTTTGCAGATCCCTGAACCGATGGAGGTTTGCAAATTCAGTCTGGTGTCCCTGAAGGAGAGAGGACTGGACACTCACAATTGCATTTTATCTGATTCCTTTTCTCCTTCATCACCATCCAGGGTACTCAGCTCACGGGATTGGGGACTCGGTGTTTCTTAATGACTCTTCAAAGTGGACTCTTACTTAGTTTTTCTTCTCTTTTACGGGAAGCCTTGCCTTTCCTTCTTTAGAGAGTGGAGTGACCGCCCCGCCCCCGCCCGGGAGGACTTCTGGGACTTAATGTGGGGAGACCCACTCTTCACCCCAGGGCCAATGAGGGCAGAAGCGCCCAGTCTCACCACTTCTGCAAGAGAGACAACGTGTGGAGAACAGCGACAGTTTTTGAGAGTCATGCACAGTTCCTCAGTGGTGGTGAGCAGGGAGCCCGCTCACCACGGTGGCACCCTCGGGACAAATTCGAGCCAGAGGTACATTCAAGGGACATCCCTTTGAAAGACGGAAAACCGCTCAAGACTTTGCAATGGCGGGATTTCCAGAAGAATGTAAAGATAGGGAGTCTAGGTCCCTTGTCCCTCACCAGCGGGGCCATGCGCAACACCTGGCCCCTGATGATGGCGGAGCAGGGGTCACCTTGACAGTCTTCCAGGCTGTGCGTGGGTTGTTCTCAACTCTGGCAAAAGACCTTCTGCAAACCCTGAAATCCAGAACACTGTGTGTCCCCTCCGTTTCCTGCAAACCCCAGCAGGCGCCCAGCAGGCGTGGGGGCAGTCTCCACGGCAACTGTCGGGACGCAGGGCTTCTCTCTGGCTCCGACTGCGACTGCGCGGCTGGTCCCCGCGCTGTCCCCGCGTAGTGAGAAGCGGGTCTTTGTGACCCCTCCTCACTCAGAAGTTACCCTCACTCACTCAAACCCACGCACACACTCAGGTGCCTACTCTCAAATGTCACCCATAGGTTTTCAAATGACTACCCACAGGAACTCAGCACAATCATGCGCAGATGCCGCCCATAAGCTGAGCGCCCTGCTCAATCCGTGTATTCAGGTGACTCAGATGTCATCCGCATCGACTCACATTGGGTATGACAGCCACGAGGGCAAGGTTTAGGTCTGAATTGTTTCCCGCCATTTCCCCAGTGCCTAGCACACGGCAGATGCTCAGGAAATATTCGCTGGTTAGAGGAAATAATGAATGAATGGGCCGATGAGTGAAGTATCCAGACTCAACCAGACGTGAGCACGGAGCCCACCTACAGCTACTCAGACCACCTCCCTCCCTCCATGTGTCCAAGTAACACGATCATTATGGTCTTTACCCACTGACGAGTGAGTGTCCTGAAGGCAGGGATTATTATTATTTTTTAATGCTCTTCTGTATCCCCAGCTCTTAGGACAAAGCTAGGGCACGGCAGGTCCATAAATATCTGCAGAGCGAATGAAAGAAGGAAGGACCCACATTGAACCAGATGTTAGCCACACCCACTCGGCTGCAACCCAAAGTTAGATGAAAATCCCTAGTTCATCCACACTAGTGGGATGTCACCTCTGACACTCATTCTTACTCAGAAGTCACCCACTCATTGGAACCACCACCGTCCCTTGGCGCAGGCTACCCCCCTCACTACAACCCCCAAGGTTCCTCAGCTATGCCCGCCCTCCCCCGTCACCCCCACAACCACTCAGAACATTCCCACGCTGCTCCACGTGCCCCGCCCCCCGACGCCGGCTCACAGCTTCTTGTCGGAGGCGTGGCGCCGTCGACGGTTTTTCTTGTGCTTCCTCTTGCTCCTCTTGCCCTCTCCAGCCTTGCTCTCCTTCTCCAGGGAGCTCGGAGGTGGCACCGCATCCACCCTGGCAGTGGCCCCGGCCTCTGGGTGCTCCCCCGGCAGAGGCAGGCAGCACTTCACGGCGGGCAGCTCTCTGGGACCTGTCGCCGTCGGGCACAGTTCCTGTCTCAGGACTCGGGCCACATCTTCCACCGTTCGGCCCTCGCTCTGCAGGAACAGGTTCAGCTTGGTCAGGAATTCGACGTCCTGCTTCCGGGGCATGTAGACCACTCTCCACATCCCGCCCTTGCCCTTGATCTCCCTGGGGACCACGGCATAGTTGAGCTCCTCCGCCAGTCTAATGATGGCTGCCTTGGTCCTGTCTTCCTCCAGAAAGGCTTTCCCAGCCACTTCGAATTTGCCCAGAGGCTTGAGAGGGACCCGTATGATCTCCTCAAACTCCTCGTGGTTGCAGTCCTCCGGAATCCCCAGGATCATCAGGGACTTGTAACTGTCCACCTCCAAGGCCTTGCACCCGTGCTCCAGCAGTGCGATGTCCTTGACACCAAACAGCATCTTGCCCAACTCCTTGAGGCAGCTGTATGCCCGCTGGTGCGCGCTGGAGCTGCCTCGGGAATCCAAAAACTGATCCAGGGTGCCACGATCGCTTTCCCAAGCCTACCTGGGAATGAGGCCTCACCGGCGGAGGCTAGAGACAGACCCAGCTAGAAGCTCAGGCAGGGCGTCCCCGGTCCCTGCGAGCAGGGCTGCACGATGTAGCCCTAGGAGAGGGGACTCACGCGTCCCAGGCTAGCCGAGGTGGGTGTTTGCCAGCCGATTCGTGGCTCCCGGGTCCGGCGCAAGGCCGCACGAGGGAGGGTCTGAAGATGCCTCTTTATTGGTGGTGGCCTCCGAAGGTCCCCCAGGCCCTGACAGTCTCAGCAGATTTGTGACGGCTGATCTCCCTGGGACTGCTGCCACCAGCGCGTCCTGGGTGCGGGTCTGGCAGGCAGGGTGACTCGTCCCCTACCGCTGGCCCAGAGGTTGCCCTTAGTGCCCTGGGGCGGGGCCAAGACCAGGACGCGGCCGCTGCACTTGCTCCTGCAGTGACGTCACCGCCTTCTTCCGTTCTGCGGCCCGGAGATCTCCATGGCAACTGCTAGAGCATCGCCTCTGCCATTGGCGGGCCCCGTCGCATTGAAATCAGAGTCCGAGGGGGTCACTCGGAGGTGAGGGGTCAGCTACCCAATTTCAAAAATCCCCACTCTTTGGAAAAATGGCTGATTCCGGAGGGCTGGGGTGGGGGTGGGGCACAAGGAAGAGACAAGATGAACCTGGAACATCTTTTGGGGACACAAATTTGGAAAATGTATAAAGACAGATGAGAACACCTGGAAGGACTCAGGAGGCAGCTTAAAGGACCCCCACTGGCCAGTTCAGATGACTTGAGCATCAAGTTAGAAATAAGAGTAACAGATTATAACCCCTCCGCGCAGATATAAATGAATGGGAAGTTTGTTGAGGAATGTGCGCAGTTATAAGACCTTGTCCTTGTAATACTTTTTTTTTTTTAATCTGATTCATTTATTTCATGATCATGCGTTTCTCGGAAAACTTACTGGTGAAATGTGAAATGTTACAAAGTAATCGGGAGATTACAAAGTACAGAAGAATAAACCCTTTTTATCTTTCCACAACTTTGCTCTTTATTTCAACGTCACACATCACAGTCTGCGCAGGCACGTGCCCTTACACGCACTCAGTAGATTCCTTTCCTGCAGAAAGCTAAAGCCGGAAGGCAGAGAGAGAGAGAGAGAGAGAGAGAGAGAGAGAGAGAGAGAGAGAGAGAGAGAGAGAGAGAACATCAAGTATGTATCGTTGCCACTTGATGATGCTGGCTTCCGATTTAATCTTCTGCCCCTATAATACTTATTCGTCAAAGGGACAAGCACCCTTTACAATGGAATGTCCCTTAATTTTTCTTTTTTTTCCCTTTTTAAGATAGAGAATTTTTTAATATTTATTTTTTAGTTTTTCGGTGGACACAACATCTTTATTTTATTTTTTTTATGTGGTGCTGAGGATCGAACCTAGCGCCCCACGCATGCCAGGCGAGCAGGCTACCGCTTGAGCCACATCCTCAGCCCCTTCCTTTCTTTCTTTCTCTCTCTCTCTCTCTCTCTCTCTCTCTCTTTCTTTCTTTCTTTCAAGACAGGCCTCGCCTAGTGGCTTAGGGGCCTCACTAAACTGCTGAGGCTGGCTGAGAACTCCTGATCTTCATGGCTCAGCCTCCTGAGTCCCTGGGATTACAGGGGTGCCCCACCACACCCAGAGGAGTGTCCTTCTTTGTAGGACACACATGCCACAATATTCAGGGAGCCTATGGCACCAAATTGGCAAGGTACTCTCAGAAAGGCTCAGAGCAAAAACTTCTCTGTGCCATCTTGGTAACTTTTTTTTTTTTTTTTTTTTTTGCAGGTTTGTGGTTGTTTCAAATAAAATTTACACAGGGAAAAATAAATGTCCCCTATCCATCCCCCCCACTGTGTCCATTCTGCCCTCCCTAATCCATTAATAAAGGCCACCTGCCTGCTCCAAGGGCGGGCCCTGATTGGGTGGAACTAACAACCCCACCCCTTTGCCACTTAATTGCTTCAGAAATGGTCACTCACTGGGGCCCAAAATAATCGGGACATATCTCCCTGGTCAGAGAGATTGGTTAGAGCCTGGACTCTTGAACTCAGTAAAGCCATTAGAATGACGGGAAGGACTTCTGCGACTAGTGAAGCAGGGATACTCCCCCTCCCCCAAATATGAAAGAGTAAGTCTGGAAGCTGCAGAAGGACATTCTGGCATCATGAGAGAAGACATTTCTTTTGGGTGCTGGGGATAGAACCCAAGGATTCCTGCACACTAAGCACCCAGCGTGACACTGAGCTGCATCCACAATCCTAGAAGAGGCTGTTCTGAGGAGGAAGGCAGAGCTAAGAGAATCACTGACAAACCCAGCCATAGTCCTAATGACACCATGTGTCTCTGGATCAAACCATACCTGAAACCCATTCCTTTGAAACTTTATTTTTAAATACTCATTGAATTACAATGTCTGTAACGAGGAGCATATAGATTATAAATGAAAACCCACACATGAATAGCACCCAAATCATAAATGGACACCATCAGCATCCCAAGAAGGGTGTCTTGTACTCTGTCCAAGTCACTGTATCCTTTCAAGGGTAGCCAGCCCCCTGACTTTCAAGGTCACAGATAAATTCAGTTTGATTTTTGCATTTTTTTATGACGGATTCACAGACGAGGTGCCCTGTGTTTCTTGGTGAACATATATGTACACATGTGTTGCTTCTGCAGGGAGAGGCAGCACAGTATTGGTCTAACCTCCAAAGACAAACTTCCTCTCCCAAATTTCAAAGACTTTCTCCCATCAATGCGTTTTTCTCCTTTGGGTCATCCTGGGAGCAGACTGGACAGGGGGCCTGTTCCCACTTTAGGGCAGGGCAGGGCAGTGAGGGATCTGGGAGTGACCAGGAGGGAAGAGGCTCTTCTGGGCAGGCAGGTGGCCTCTCTGTTGGGGACCTTCCATCCAGGATCTGCATCAAGTGGCCAGTGCGGGTTTGTCAATGGGCAGAGTCTGAGGGGGAGGGGGGAGTGTGATAGTGACCTTGCGTCCTGTCCTGTCCCAGGGCACTCCACTGAGAGTTGGAGGGAAAAGCTTAACTCAGAGGCCACGAATGGGAACCCTCTCCTCAGGAAACTGGGCTCAGATCTGCTTGATTTGTTCAGCTCTGCTTTCCAAAAGCTTTAAGTCAGTGACCGACTTTTAAAATGAAACGTAAAAGGACTCCAGATTTCTGGCTTCTATTTGAAACGAGAGAATCTGCTAGACAAGGAGCCCACACTCCTAGTCCCAGCCACCTGGAGGCTGAGACCGGAGAAAGACTTGTCTGAGCCTAGGAATTTGGGGCCAGCCCTGGCAATATACCAAGATCCCTTCACTTAAAAAAAATGGGGGGAAGAGAGGATCTGTCATATAGACCTTCATTGTCACCTGAAGAAAACCTGTTGGGACTGAGAAGCCTCTGCCTCCCTTTCAGATGGAGCTCCTGTTCTGGTTTTCCACAGGCCCTGCCAGTCCTTATTGCTCCCCGTCCTTGATTTGTGTATCTGCATTCCCGCTTAGCTTTGCAGACTGGAGTGAGATGCCTGATTGACACCTTCAGTAACCTTCTTATTATTAACTCACCCTTCCGTATGCTTGAGTAACTCTTCATAAAGGAATTTAAACACTGACTGATGGTGGCGATGCCCATGTCACCAGCACACGGAGGAGGCTTCGCTTTTGTGTCAAGCTTCTCTAACAGCCACCTGAAGCCTCTATTTTTCTTTGGTGTTGCTGAGTGTGGAACCCGGGCTCTGTGCGTGCTAGACATGGGCTGCACCACTGAGCCCCACCGCAGCCCAGGCCAGCCATTTTGTTAATGTTCCCGCCATCCCCTCTGGGTTTTTATTTTTGACCCACAATCACCAAAGGTCCGATTCCATGATGAGTTCCTCCCCGGGGCGGGGGGAGACCCACAGAGGCCTTGCTCCTCCCTGGAGGCAGAGCTGGACAGGGCTGGTGGACCCATTACTCACGTTCTCCAGCACAGAGAAGAAAAGGGAGGCTTGCCCTCTCCTCCAGGGGGTTTCAGGAACCAGCTCTTCCATAGAGATTTCTTTGAAGCTTTAGTCATTTATTTAGGTACAGGGGACTGAACCCAACGGTGCCCACAGACCACATCCCCAGCCCTTTTTTGTACTTTATTTAGAGACAGGGTCTCCCTGAGTTGCTAAGTGTCTCGCTAAGTTGCTGAGGCTGGCTTTGAACTCTCGACCCTTCTGCTTCAGCCTCTTGAACTGCTGGGATTACCGGGGAGCCCCACTGATGCCTTATTTTGTCATTAAAAAGTCACCTTTCTGGCCATTGTGACACATGCCTGTAACCCCAGAGTCTTCCGAGGCTGAAGCAGGATGATTGCAAGTTGGAGGCCAGCCTCAGAAAGTTAGTGAGGCCCTAAGCGAATTAAGGAGACGTTGTCTCCAAATAAAAAACAAAAAAGGACTGGGATGTGGCTTAGTAATTGAGTGTCCCTGAGTTCAGACCCCACCATATCTATCTATCTATCTCAGGGGTTGGGGTATGTAGTTCAGCGCAGAGAGCTTGCCCAGCATGTGCTAGGACCTGGGTTCCGGCCCCAGTGTTAAAATAAATTAAAAAAAAAAGTTCACCCTCCACTCCACGCGGACAGTGTTCATTATGTACAAAGACGAATTCTCCTTCAAAAGATGTAGTGAACTTGGCAATGGAAACGGTTTGCCGTGGATTTTGAGTCCTTGGCACGCCGTGGTGGATCCCTGGGTTTACGCACATTCTGGTTCCAGAAGCAGGCGACACAACGGCTCATTTATTTGATCCACCAACATTTCCTGAGAGGCTCCTTGTTCCAGGCCTGGGGTGCCGCGCCCTGGGGTGAGTGGGGCGGCTGGGCCTTAGGAGCTCTGCCAGGCAGCCAGGAGGGCACCTCTGCCCGTTTACAGCAGGGACAAGCCTGCGACCCCAGGAAGAGCTGATGCGCAGAGTCCACGACGTGCTAACGGAGCTCAGTTTTCCTGGGACGTCTTTCGCTAGAATTTTTTTTTTTTTTTTTTTTTTTTAACATTTATTTTTTAGTTTTTTGGCGGGCACAACATCTTTGTTTGTATGTGGTGCTGAGGATTGAACCCGGGCCGCACGCATGCCAGGCGAGCGCGCTACCGCTTGAGCCACATCCCCAGCCCCTTTCGCTAGAATTTAAAGAGAGAATTGTGTAAAGTGCTTTGGGAGCCCCAGCAACTGGTCCTGTCCAGGAAGACTGCCCTGATCTTGGAAGTCTTCCTGGAGGAGGTGACATTTGGGTGTTTTGTTTGTTTGTTTTTTCTCTTTCTTTCTCTCTCTCTCTCTCTCTCTCTCTCTCTCTCTCTTTCTTTCTTTCTTTCTTTCCGGTGCTGGGGACTGAACCCAGTGCCTCAAGCACGCTGGCGCGAGCACTCTATCTACCAAGCCACATCTAAATACCACTTTTTCTTTCTTGTTCTAATGAGTTACCCACGGCAGTGGAATGCACTTTGACACATCATACATGAATCGCGTGTGACTTCTCATTCTTGGGGTTGTACACAATGCAGAGTCACACCATTGACCTAGGGACACCTAGGGAAATGTCGCCTGACTCATCTTACTGCCCCCTCACTCCCCCACCTTCACTCCCCTCTGCCCCATCCAAAGTGGCTGTCTTCCCTAGAGTTTGTTGTAGATGAGCACCCACATATCAGGGAACACACTCTGCCTTTGATGTGGGGGGAATGGTATTTCACTTAGCATGATATTTTCCAGCTCTATCCACAAAAATACCATTTTTTTAAGAGAGAGAAAGAGAGAGAGAGAGAGAGAGAGAGAGAATTTTTAAAACGTTTATTTAGTTAGTTAGTTTTCAGTGGACACAACATCTTTATTTATTTGTATGTGGTGCTGAGGATCGAACCCAGCGCCCCGCGCATGCCAGGCGAGCGAGCTACCGCTTGAGCCACATCCCCAGACCATAAAAAAATACCATTTTAAAAGTAGTTTGCACTGCTCTCCTTACACAGGCACACTATGTGCCAGACAGTATTTTAAGCTAGGTGTACTAAGTCATTTACTTTTTACAGTTCATTAGTTAAATATTGACTTAATGATTCAATCATTTATTTCTTCAGTGAATACTCATTGAGCAGTTTCTGTATGTTTTAGCCAGAAAACTGAGGATCAGAGAAGTCAGATCATTTTATCAAAGCCACTCAACTAGTGAGATTGTGAATACTTAAATTTTAAATATTTAGTATAAATTTTCTGCTTATATATTTTAGCCTTTTTCAAACTGGGGATCCTCCTACCTCAGCCTCCTGGAGTCTCAGGTGTGCACCACCACACTGGGCAGGGAGATCCTGTCCCAAAATAAAAAATAAAAAGGGTTAGGGATCCTCCGATTTGTGGTAGGGCACTTATCTAGCATGTATGAGACTCTGGGCCCCATCCACAGCAACCCACATGTGTACACACACACACACACACACAAAGTTGTTATCCTGTATTGTTTAGAAATAATAAGAAAAATATCTAGACAAGTTCACTGCAGATGAAATATTCTTTCACATACTTTCTGTTTGCAGTTGGTTGAGTCCGTGGCTGTAAAACCCAAGGCATGGAGTCCAACTATATGAGTGGTCTTGGGGAGAAGGAGAGCAGGAAAGCCAGGGGTGGAGGGCAGGGAGAGATTTTGAATTTTTTACAGTGCACCAAGTAAAGGTTCCTTGATGCAACTTCCCAGGGAGGCAATTCAGCCAGAGTGGCTCCAGGGGCGAAGGTCAGAGCTCGACCCCAGGCAGCAGAGCAAACACTATGTAAAGGAGCAGTATTCCAAGCAAAGGAATAGCCAGTGCAAAGGCCCTGCGGCTGAAGACTGCTGGGGGGGGGGGGTCTGAGGAACAGCCAGGAGACCCTGAGGGAACAGGAGAGAGCTGAGGAGACAGAAGAGCAGGTGGCAGGAGAAGGGAAGTGACAGCTAGATCTTTTTTTTTTTTTTAATATTTATTTATTTTTTTAGCTGTAGTTGACACAATACCTTTATTTATTTATTTTTATGTGGTGCTGAGGATCGAACCCAGGGCCTCCCACATGCTAGGCCAGCGCTCTACCCGTGAGCCCCAGGCCCAGCCCAATGGCCAGATCTTGCAGGGCCTTGTATCCTGTGGTGGGGAATTTGGACTTTTCTCTGGGGAGCTGGACAGGGAGGGGAGGTTGGTGAGGTTTCTGAGGGTCAGGGTAGGACAGGAGTTTGCCAGTCAGGCAAGAGACTGGAGTTGGAGGGTGTCAATTTCTGGAAGAGCAATTAATTCCCTCACACAGCAAATAGATAACAGATTAGATAGATATTGATATAGAAATATATATCTTTTTTTTTTTTAGCTACCGCTATGTTCTGAGCCCTGTGAACCCTGGGGACACATCAGTGAGCCTGACAGAGGTAAATACCAGTAAAGTGGAATGCTGGGAACTCCAGGAGTGACCGCAGGGGACCTGAGCCAGGCTGGGAGGCTGTCCGGTTGAGGCTGTGTCTGCAGGTCCTAGAACAGATCCTGGGCTGGAGGTGTGGCTCAGGGATGGAGCTCCTGCTTGGCACATTTCAATCCCCAGCTCTGCAAACAAAGCAAAACCCAAACAAGGTCCTGTGTACAGCAGGTGCTTAATAAACACCTTTTGGCCACCAATGCACCCAAATTCACTCCCTTGCCAATTCTACAATCCTTGTTTCATGCAGGACCCGGAACCTTATAGTATTAATTTGTTTAATCCTCACATAAAGAATTTGAGGGAGATCCTGTTATTATCACCATTTTGCAGACAAGGCACAGCAGGACTAATACACAGGCTAGAGGTCACACAGCTCATAGGTGGCAAGAGTCGGACCTTGAATCCAAGCAAGGCACAGAGCCCGTCTCCCTAAACTGTCCTCCTGGAAGGTGGTGGGCACCGTGCCTTTACTGGGAGAAAGAGGAGGATGCCTGTGTCTCTCTGGCCACTGCTTTTTTTTTTAATATTTATTTTTCAGTTTTGGGCGGACACAACATCTTTGTTTGTATGTGGTGCTGAGGATCGAACCCGGGTCACATGCATGCCAGGCGAGCGCGCTACCGCTTGAGCCACATCCCCAGCCCTGGCCATTGCTTGTATTATGTATTTATTTGGGTATTCATTTGTTTATTTTCTGTGCTGGGCAGCTAGGCAAGCCCTCCCCCCAAACTACACCCCCAGTTTCATATTAGTGGGGTTCTTTGCAATCTAACAGGCTGCAGCTTGTTTTATAATTCCAATATTTGTTTCTTTTTCTGTGAGCTTTCTGTCCGTATCTTTCACACTGTGGCTTTATTTATTTATTTATTTATTTTTAGCTGCAGGGTGAGAGTTTGGCAAACGAAGGAAACTGACCCCTCTCTGTGCCCCAGGCGTGAACCACTTCATAGGGCTCAAAAATATTCTTTTGGAGCTGGGACAAAATTTCCTTGCACGAGGCCCCGCCTCTTAAAGAGCCTACCACCTCAATGCTACCACACCTCCGAGCTACAGAGAAGAGCCCAGGGGGCAAAGGTGAATGGGGACTGAACACTGAGCACCGAGGACAGAGCACTGGCCAGTGGACCTGCGAGGAGGAGGAAGCGCAGGAGCACGGAGTGACTGTCCCCTGACTCCGTGTGTGGCTATCGCCCTGACACCCATCGCTGTAGGTTACACTGATGCTGGAGGGAGAGCCCTGGGGACCTCCGCAGCTGGCAGCTGATACGTGGGCAGGGTCGGGGCTCACCTGGTTTGATCTGCATTTTGATGACACTACTGAGCGTTTTTCTATGTGCTTATGGCCACTTGCAAATCATCGGAGGAATTTCTATTCAAGTCCTATGTCCATTTTTGAAATAGATTTATTTTTTGTTGTTGAGATATGTATAGTTAAATATTTAACTATTACCAACGAATTGATAAACCATCAAATAAGGTGTGTGGTTTTCTCCTATCTTCGTGTGTGTCTTCCTAAGGTCCTGGAAGTCAGGTTCAAATCTGGAATCCTCCATCAGGTGGGGTGGTGCACGCCTGTGATCCTGAAGTGGCTCCCCCTTTCTCCACAGAAAAGCCCGCTTCACCATGGCTGATTTTAGGACTGTCAGCAAAAGAGTCTCTGCAAAAGAGTTCAATGTAGATAAACTTCCTATTTTCGAGTCGCCCTGTTTACTTGGCCACTGGCCAAGAAGATACCAGCCCTCCAGGTGCTGGACACCCCTTACTAGTATAGTACTTTGAAGAAATGTGCAAACAAGGCCTCTGGCCTTGAGCTGGGCTTCACAGAGATGTCTATATTTTTAAGATAAGTTACAAATGGGCCCATGGTAACAGTTGGCAGGGGGAGGAAGGAGAGGGGAGAAGAAGCTCTCCCCTTCTCAGGTGTTGTCCTTGAAGAGTTAACTTGCCCAGAACAGTGAGAGAAAAAGCTGCTTTTATGTGAACTTCTGCAGACTGGGAACTTCTGAGCCCCTCCCCTTACATGCTGGGTATGAAACTCGAAACTCCCTGAACTCAGGGTTCAGGGATTAATTGATTAATGCAAAAGCTGTGCCCTCTGAACCTGGCTGCAGCCAAATAAAACTGTTTCCTGCTGTCTTCGGTGCCTTGCCTCATTTGTCCCATTTGGCGACCCAGATGGGACAGAGCAGGTAAGGAAGGCTGTTCTGCCTCTCTTGTCTCCGGGGACCGGCTTCCCTGGGGTGATGGGGGACAGCGGTCCCCTTGGCGTGCCCAGTCCACTCTTGGCCTGAAGAGTGATCGACTCACCAAGAGCCCTGGGGCTGCCACCCTGGAGCACAACAGGACCCACAGGCAGCAGGAACCAGAATTAGGGTTTTGAGCACCTCCCAGCTAAACAGGTAGGACCCGGGTCCATTTGGTTTGCAGCCCACCAGACTTCCCCTTCGAGGCCTAAGCGGGTGGAAGAGAGGCTTGATTGCCCTCTGTTGGGTCCTGAGTGCCCTCCAAAGTGGTTGGAGCTGAAAGGGACCCAGGGAGTCGCCCGAGTAGTCTCTGTTCGGGGTCAGCGAGCAGAGGGGACACCGTGACTCCCTTTTCTGTTTGGTTTGGAATTGTTGGAATCTGGGCGGTATAGAAATTCTGTCCTGGCCATGTCTGTGGGAAAGTGTGTGAATGAGACGGACAAAGGGAAGGGCTCCGACCCAACCTGAGGGCTGAAGTGAGTGCAGAGTCCTGATCCGCGGTTCCGTGGCCCCTCATACAGTCTATGGCGGAATTTCACCAATCAACGTCTAGGTCAAAGCTCCAGGTCCGGGGTTGATACAGACCCACAAGGCTAAGAGGGTCCTAAGTCTCTGCGAGGGGAGCGGCTGGAGATGGACGAAGCGAGTCTTGTCCTAAATGTGTTTTGTTCTAAGTGTGTGACACTGATGCAGGGTGGACCATGGGAGGCACACTAAGGAAACTGAGCCTTCTGAAATGTGTGTTAGAGACACCTTTAGGAAGGTTTTCCTGGTGACTGTGGGTGAGACTCACTCCACAAAGGTGGCATACTCTGTGAATTAGAGTGGCTCACTCAAGACGTGGGCTGGCCACCAGAAGGATCTTTAGATGAGAGAGTCATTGCTGAGGTCTTTTGATTGTTGTTGGAACTTTCTCTGAACCAATTCTTTTATATGGATTGCTGGCAAGAGATAGTACAGAAACAGTCCCCTTGGTTGAGAGCCTGTCTAGATGGACAGTCCAAGAAGATGTTAGTCAGGAGCACAATGGTCTCTAAGACCCAGCGGAAAGCAGCTAAACAGAAAACCTGACTAGGAAAGACAGGAAGGGAACAGTATTCCCCGTGAGCCAGAAGAGGACCCAGGACCTATGTGCCACTCTACCCAACTTTGCCAAGACCACTGGGACAGCAGACTGTACCCTAGCCCCCTCGTCCTCAGAGGCAACAAATGATGGCTCCCAATACTGGCCATTCCTTCCTTTGTGATGTCCTCAGAGCCAAAGGCTTCGTAGGACCAAAGACTTTTAACCTCCCAAGATTAAGATGGGAGATGTGTCCCCAAAGCAGAGCCACAGCCCGTATGAGTGCTCTCCAGATGCCCCAGCAAGGGACTAAAGGACCTGCCCATGTTGTCCAGAAGGGAAACGCCTGAGGGAGACAAGGCAGTTTTGTGTGCCAGCCTTTCTCCACCCCAGAGCTCATAAGCTGGAAAAATCATGCTCCCTCCTACACGGAGAAACCCTGGGCCAGGACTGATCTGGGGCAGCCCATTATCCAGACCAGGGATGGGGCCCAACCAAGAAGAAGGTCTAAAGATAAAGAGATGTCAAGAAGCCCTCATAGGAAGTCTAAAAGAAAAGGGGGGGGGGAGATAATAAAACACACTGTGCCCAAGAGTTAGAAGGGATCGGAGCCAGCCCTGAGCCCTGGCCTAAGCCAAGTGCATCTGCAGACAGAGCCCAGCTAGGCCTCCCGCTGCTCCAGCATCTCCCTCTCGCACCCTCGATAGCCCTGAACATTTCTCTTGGCCCCACATCTGCTTAAGGCCCCTCTGCCCTATGAACCTGGCAGCAATGATCAAAAGAGATGTGCCCAACTGACTCAGAGCTAAGTGTCCAGGCCACTGCTGCTGCCAGCCCTCTCCCTGCCCAGAGGTCCCCAAGGGAGGAGGGGCACCATACAAACATTGTAGCCACAGTGCAAGTTTGTCAGTAAAGAAATGCACAGGTGCAAGCAACAGGTGATCAGTGCAGCCTTCCTGGGACAGGCTCAGAGAGCCATTTGCCAAAAATTACAATCCTAGAGGACTTACTGAGAAGTGTGACAGTGAGCTGATTAAGGTGGACACCACAGTTTTCATCAGTCGAGATCCAGAGACTCAAAGACAGGCAGACCAGAAAGATAAAGAGGAGGATGGATCTCCTTACAAACCCAGAGGTCACTCAAAGGGGGGTCTCACTAGAACAAAGCCAATGGTCCAAATGTTTACAAGGAAAAAAAGTGTGGCCAGACAAAAGGGGAAGCCTCCAGTGGCCCCGGCAGACAAGCACCCACTGCCATGCTCAAAAGCTGAGACTTGAACAGAGAAGGAAGGAATGCTTTCCCCAAGCCTTTGGCCCCAGCCCCTCCTTTCAGTTTCTTCCCACTTGCTGGGAAGTCGATGATTGACGAATATGGCAGGGTCCCAGAGACACACAGAACTGCATCTGATGCACAAGACCCACTGCCTCAGGAGGGCTCAGCTGCTGCAAGCCCCAAATGAACCAGAAATATGCTCATGTTAACAGCCAATAGTGGGCCATAGGGTGCTCACTCCTAAAGGACATGTCACCCTGGCTCCAAGCCACACGCTGTGAGCCACCTGCAGGAAGGGCCACAGAGTCCCATGCACCCAGACATAGCGAACAAAACACAAGCAGGGCAGCTGCTATATACAATTAGAGCAGGCTCCCACCTGGCAGGAGGAGAAAAGCCACACAGTCAAAGAGCAACACCTAGGTGAGCGCAATGTGGCTGCCACACTGGGACCTGCACGGAACCGCACCACTGCCCTCCAACCTTGGCAGATGGCCCACGGAGAGATTGACATAGGTGCCTTTTACACAAGTGATATCCCAGGTCATCAGTCTCTGCTAAGATTTACATTAGATTTCAGAGTTGGAGAATCCTTGCAGCCAAGATCCTGCACAGGGAGATAACAAAAAAATTCCTGCATCTTAAAGCGCCAGAGGCTCTGTGTGCGTCTTCCTTCCCTAAATGACAGTTCCTCCCAGGGGCTGGAGTACACCATCCTTGGGACAGCACTGGACTCTGATTTAAAGTCCACATCTATCAAGAAAAAGTCAAATACCATGGTTACCATCTGACTCAGCAACAGAACTGACAATAGCCACTGGGCCTCAACAGAAACAGGAGATCTGCTCAATTCCAGTCCCTCCAACCTGCCAACAGACTAGAGAATTCCTGGGGGCTACTGGGTTCAGCCATATACGGATCCCCAACTTTCAGTTATGGAAAAACCCCTCTATGAAGCCACAAAGTGGGGAGAATGAGATCCTCTGATGTGGGGGCCAGCACAGCAAAAGGCCTTGGAGGACATTAAACAAGCACTCACCTGTGCACCTGGACTAGGGCTCCCTGACCTCACGAAGCCTTTCTTTCTGTATGTCCATGATCTGTCTGGAGTGGCTGTGGGAGTTTTGACTCAGATGCTGAGGACGTGGCACCGTCCAGTGGCCTATTTGTCCAAACAGCCGGACTCTGTAGCCCAGGGCTGGCCACCTTGTTTATGGGCCCTTGCGGCCACAGCTCTTCTGGTGTTGGAAGCTGATAAACTGGCCATGGGACAAGAACTGGTTGTCAGAGTTCCTCATTCAATTTTGACTTTGTTAGAATATAAAGGACACTATTGGTTGACTAATGAAGGAATGGTCAATACCAGGGCATACTATGTGAAAACCCACATATTCATGTTGAGGTCGTCAGAATTCTAAACCCAGCAACTTTGCTGCCCATTGGACTGGAAAACCTGATCACTAATGTCTTGAGGTCATGGATGAAGTGTTCTCCAGCAGACCAGACCTGGCAGACCAGCCCTCAGGGACACTGATGCAGAGTACTTCACAGACGGAAGCAGTTTCATAAAAGATGGGGTATGTTTTGCTGGATATGCAGTGGTCACTCTGGACTTTACTGCCGAGGCAAAACCTCTGCCTCAGGGAACTTCAGCACAAAAAGTAAAATTTATTGCTTTGACTCAAGCACCTCAGTTGACAACAGGAATCTTTAGATATTTACAGACTCAAAATATGTGTTCTCTACCCTTCATGTTCATAGGGCCTTATGTAGGCTAATTAACTCAGGAGAAAAAAAGGGGGGGGGACATGATGGATAGGCAAGAAATTCTTAAACTTTTGGATGCAGTGTGGGCTCCCAGGAAGGTTGTGATTATATATTGCCGAGGTCATCAAAAGGGAAACACTGTGGTTTCTCAGGGCAACTGGAGAGCTGACAGAGAGGCCAGGTTAGCTGTCTTCAAGAAACGGGAAGAAAATCCAGTCCCAGGTTTAAATGCTGCCCTTCTGCCTGGCCGACTAGCTAACAGAAAGGGAGCCAACATACTCCCAGCATGAAAGTAAGTGATTTAAGACTGAAAAAGGACATTTTCTCCCAGGTGGATGGTGGAGATTTTCTGATGGCCTAAATAGCCATCCCAGAGATTCTAGCCCCAGCCTTTATCAACACAGTTTCGCAGGAAAACATGTTGGACATACAGCACTTGAGACAGTTCTGAGTCAACATTTCTATGTCCCCCCGCTCACAAGCAACACCTGGATGATCTGCAAACAATGTGAGGTTTGTGCTCACAACAATCCTTGTCAGGGGCCAAAACTCCCACCAGGAATCCAAATTATAGGAGGAGCACCTTTTGAAGACTTGGAAGTAGACTTCACTGAACTTCCACGCTCACGGGGCTATAAGTAACTTGTTTTTTATATGTTCATACTCTGATGGGTGGAAGCCTTTCCCACCCACACTGAAAAGGCCAGGGACATGCTAGGATGCTTCTCTTGTGAAATTATTCCCAGATTTGGTGTCCCAATAATTATTGGCTCAGACAATGGGCCAGCTTCGGGGCAGAGATAATCTGATTACTGACCAAGAGTGTAAACATCAGATGGAAGTTACATACTGTCTATAGGCTGCAGAGTTCTGGTAAAGTTCAAGGGATGAACAGGACTTTAAGGCTCAATTGGGTGAGCTGTGTCAGGAGACTCACTTACATTGTGATGAACTGCTCCCTATTACACTGTTGAGGATTACATCCACTCCCACTAGGAGGAATGGATTCTTTTCTTTTGAGATAATATATGGGACATTCTCCACCCCTTTTATTAGGGGACTACAGGGAGACTTAAGAGAGACAGGAAAATTAACCCTGAGATGACAGCTTCAGGCCTTAGGGAAAACTTTCCAGGTTCTCAACCAATGGGTTAGAGAAAGAGAGCCAGTAAGTTTGACCCAGTGCACACTCCTTCAAGCCTGGAGATTGAGTCTGGGTCAAAGAATGGAATATTCAACCCCTGAACTTGTTTGGAAGGGCCCTTCCCTGTTATTTTATCCCCCCCAGCTGCAGTCAAGTTTGCAGAGACAGGTCCCTGGATTCACTACACCAGACTCACGCCTGCAGCTGCGGACTGGGAGTGCTCTCCAGATGCTGCTACGCCCTTGACGCTGACCATCCCGAAGAAAAAGGAGCACCGGAGAAGCTTGAGGATCAGAAGGACAACAGCCCTGCTCCAGTCACTCCGGAAGCTGACTGGTCTATGCACGGCCGAAGCTTGAGGAGACTACGGCCCTGTTTCAGCCACACAGGAGGGAATGGCTGATCAATGCCCCGTGAAAGATAAACTTCCCACCAGGACTAATGAACTCTTTCAACCTCTGAGATAGTTCTTATACTGTAATGCATTGCCACCCCTTGCTTCTAGATATATACACAGTTCTCTGTTTGGTTTTAGCTACTGGTTTGATAACAGTAACTCCTACTGACTGGATTCTGGGTAACAAAATTTCACTTATACTTTTTTATCTTGCTTATATAAGCTTTCTAGGATTTGTTTGGTGTTTTAGTTTTGCTTTGTTAATTTATGCTGTTTAACCTATGCTAACCAAAACATTACTCTATTATTTAGTTTGGTTTCCTTTGATAACCTTAAGGGATTCTGCCCTACTCCTATTCCAACCACGGAGATCATGTAAACCATGTGTCAAGACAATCCACTATAACTAAGAGGTGGTAAAACATACATTTAAGACCTGTCCCACCAGAGGAATGCTATAGATGGATGACTATTTGGAAAGGAAAAAGAGGTCCATTGGAAAGAAACTTGATTTAGGAGGTCATCGATCTTGGGGTGAAGGTAACTGGCCACCCCAGAGGATTATTGCCACTTATGATCCCGCTACCTGAGCACAAAATGGCAGTTGGAGCTATAGAACTTCTATTTACATGTTAAACAGAATTATTCACTTACAAGCTGTACTAGAAATTATTATTAATCAGACTGCCACAGCCTTTGACCTCCTAGCCACACAACAGATCAGATGCGAGTGGCTAACTATCAGAACCGCTTGGCATTAGATTACTTACTGGTTGAGAAAAAAGAAATACGTGGAGAGTTCAACACCTCAAATTGTGGCATCCAAATGGATGACAATAGACAAGCAGTTAACGATACCAACAACACAAGAGAACTAGCACATGTGTTAGTTCATATCTAGAAGGGCATTAAAGTTTGGGTCCCAACCATGCTTTTGGGAGATGGTTTTCAACTCTTGTAGATTTAAAAGCTTAACTAGTGTAGTGGGTATTCTGTTTGGCTCCACTGTGCATTAAAACTATTGGGTCCACTGTAGAAGCTTCTGTTGAAAGTATGACAACAACTAAGATTTTGACATTGTATAACACTTTAAGCCAAGATAATGGTAATGATGCTCTTAAATTTAAAGGATTAAATTATGGGGAGCATCATTAAATGGGGAATTGAAGTGGCACCCCCTTTCTCCACAGAAAAGCCCGATTCACCATGGCTGATTTTAGGACTGTCAGCAAGAGAGTCTCTGAGAAAGAGTTCAATGGAGATAAATTTCCTATTTTCATGTTGCCCCGTTTACTTGGCCACTGGCAGAGAAGATACCAGCACTCCAGGTGCTAGACACCCCCTTATTAGTTTTTCACAAACAGTATCCAGTACACTAGTTTGTAGAAATGTGCCAACAAGGCCTCTGGCCTTGAGCTGGGCTTCACAGAGATGTCTATATTTTTAAGATAAGTTACAAATGGGCCCATGGTAACAGTTGGCAGGGGGAGGAAGGAGAGGGGAGAAGAAGCTCCCCCCTTCTCAGGTGTTGTCCTTGAAGAGTTAACTTGCCCAGAACAATGAGAGAAAAAGCTGCTTTTATGTGAACTTCTGCAGACCGGGAACTTCTGAGCCCCTCCCCTTACACGCTGGGTATAAAATTCTGAAACTCTCTGAACTCGGGGTTCAGGGGATTGATTATAGCAAAGGCTGTGTCCCCTGAACCTGGCTGTAGCCAAATAAAACTGTTTCCTGCTGTCTTCAGTGCCTTGCCTCATTTGTCCCTACAACAATCCTAGTGGCTCAGGAGGCTGAGGCAGGAGGCTGAGGCAGGAGGCTCGCCAGTTCAAAGCCAGCCTCACAACTCAGTAAGATCCGGACTCTAATTAAAATGTAAAAAGGGGGGCTGGGGATATGACTCAAGCGGTAGCGTGCTGGCCTGGCATGCATGCGGCCCGGGTTGGACATACAAAGATGTTGTGGCCGCCGAAAAAACTAAAAAAAAATAAATATTAAAATTCTCTCTCTCTCTGACTCTCTTTAAAAAAAATAAAATATAAAAAGGGCTGGGGATGTGGCTCACTGGTTGAGCACCTCTGGGTTCAATCCTTGGTTCCCCCAGAGCCCCCTCCAAACACCAAAATTTGAATCCTCATGCCCCTAAGAGATTCATGCATGGGAAGAGGCACCTCCATGCCACATCTGAGCCCACTTCTCCTCCCACCTGTGGTTGGCTGAGCAATGGCTTCCTAAATGTGCCCAGGGCCTGATCCCTAGAACCTGTGAATACTACCTTCTGTGGTAAAAGGGCTTTTGCAGGTGAGATTAAACAGGATTTTGAGATGGAGAGACGGGTCATCTGGGAGGGCCCACGGTAACCACAGGGTTTTCTACAAGAGAGAGGGAGGAGGCCAGAGGGAGACAAGGTCACGTGTCAACAGAATCAGAGATGGAGTGATACGGCCAGAAGCCAAGGAATGCGGCAGACTCTAGAAGCTGCAAGAGACAAGGAACAGAGTCTCCCCTGGAGACCTCCACAGTGTGAGGGAAAAAAATTATATATGTTTTTTAAACTGCTAAGATGTGGTAACTTGTTACAGCAGCACGGGAAGCTTACACCGAAGCCAACTTTGCGGCATAAGGTGAGTCCTCGCCCACCTGCACGCTGATAACCCCAGCCACACATCCAAGCTCCACTCATGCCCACCCTGAGTGACAGTCTTCAGCCACCCCTGTGCCTGGAGGTGTACAGAGCAATGTCACCTGGGGAAGCGCTCTCACATGATCTGGAAGTGGACTCAGGTCAAGGACAAGGAATTACGGGTCCCAGTAGCAGACATGGTCTAGAAGGGGTAGGTGCCCATGCGCCTGTCCCCATGGACTCCTCACCCAGAGGAGGAGGCTTAGAGAGGGATCTGGACTCTGGGTCTAAAGGCAGCATTGGACTTGAGACACACTTCAGAGACCAAAACAAAAGGACTTGCTAAAGAATTGGATGGAGGGGCTGGGGTTGAGGCTCAGAGGTAAAGCACTCACCTAGCATGCGGGAGGCACTGGGTTCCATCCTCAGCACCACGTGAAAATAAAATATTGTGTCCACCTATAACTAAAAAATAGATACATTTTTTATGAGGTTCTTTTTTTTTAAGAGAGAGAGAGAGAGAATTTTTTAATATTTATTTTTTAGTTTTCGGCCGACACAACATCTTTGTTTGTATGTGGTGCTGAGGATCGAACCCGGGCTGCACGCATGCCAGGCGAGCGTGCTACCGCTTGAGCCACATTCCCAGCCCCTAAAAAATAGATATTAAAAAAAGAATTGGATGGCAGCAGAGACTGAGACAAAAGTCAGATTCGGATCAGAGATGACGCTCCAAATTCAGTAAATGCATGACCCAGCAATTCCATGCCTAGGAGAACTGAAAAGCAGCACTTAACAAATACTGTAAACAAATCTTCATAGCTCTTGTATTCACAGTAGCCAGGAGGTGGACGCAACCCCAACAGCCAAATGTATATCCACATGGTGGAATACTACTCAGCCATAAAAAGGAACTAAGCACCGACACGTGTTAATAGGGATGACCCTTGAAAACAGGATGCTCAGGGAAAGAAGCCAGACCCAGAAGGCCACCTGGGTATGGTTCTAAAATAGACAAACCCACAGAGACAGGAAGTGGATTAGTGGTTGCCAGGGTCAGGGGAAGGGGTGGAGAATGACTGCTTAATGAGCCCCCAAATCCTTTGGGCGTGATGAAACTGGACAGAAGGGTGCTTGCAAGACATTGTAAACGTATTAAGTGCCCTTTACACACACATTTAAATGCTTCGTTTCATGTTATGGGAACTTTACCTCAATAATTTTTTTCTTGTTTTCTTTACTTTTGATTGACACATAATGACTGTACACATTTAAGGGGTGCAGTGTCATATTTCAACACATGCATATTATATACTTGTGATCAAATCAGGGTAAATTAGCACATCCATCACTGCAAACATTTATCGTTTCTTTGTGGTAAGAATATTCCAGATCCTCTCTTCAAAGTTACAGTTAGGAAGAATGCTTCCAGGTGTTCCACTGCAGAGCAGGGTTATAAGGTCCCTGCTTAGCATCTGGAGGTCCTTCTTAAGTGACAGCCTCCAATTTAAGGAAAAAGTTTCACTTTCCCTCCCAGGGGCCCTTCTAGAAAGGCCCACCACTCCCTCACACCAACCCAACCCCTAACCACCGCCTTAGGACCCGCTGAGCTCTGATTCCTGAACCTGCCCCATGAAAGTCCCAGAACCCAAGCCTGTTTGGCCTCTCTCCTATAGAGACATGGCCTTTATTTCTCAGCTCTGACAAACTCTCGTGTGTACCTCTGCCTGGTCTCCGTCTTTCATTTCTCACGTTCCCGTCTCTCGTCCCTCGATTTCCCTTTAAGGGTGACTAGGGGTAATAATGTATTGCATATTAAAACAATTTTTTTTTGTAATGACTCCATTTTTGTCTGAAACTCTTAAAGGACGCGGAGAGGTCTGTGCACTTGATGGGAGAAGCCACAGGGAGAAATGAGCTGGGGAGGGGCTCCCACTTTGGAGTTCTTGAATTTGATGTGCCTCCTGAATGGAGTTAGATATGTGAACTTGGAGTTCAGGGACGCGACTGGTGGAGGGATAAGTTAGAAGCCTTTGGCACAGGAGAAGTATTTAAGCCCTGGGACTGGATGAGATCATCCAGATAGAGGGTGGGGGAAATGGACCAGGCCCAGGCTCGCAGAGTCAGTGCTGGAGGAAGAACCAGGGAAAGGGCTGGGGCTGGGGCGGGGGCGGGGGAAGAGCCCCAAGAATGTGCATCTGCAGAGCCGAAGCGTCTCCAGTCTTACACACAAGGGGTAAGTTCCAAGACGTTCCACGGCGTCCAAGACGTTCCACGGCGTCCAAGACGGCGGACAGCATGAAGCCTGAGCACACAGCCCGGGCCTCCCTACATGATGCACCTAGAACAGCTCCACTGAGAAATCAGGCACAGCAGATCGGCACCAGTCACTAATAATAGACTATTATTTTATTAGTAGTAAACAGCGTAGGGCTGGGGATGTAGCCCGGGAAGAGGTTCTCTAGCACGTGCAAGGCCCTGGGTTCAATCCCCAGCCTGGAAAAGATATCAACCAGGCTGGGGAAACAGCTCAGTTGGGAGAGGGCGTGCCCCAGAAACACAGGCCCCAAGTTCAACCCCCAGCACCACAGAAAATAAATAAATAAATAGATAAAAACCAAACATAGAACAATATCACAACCTACTCTGACAGGAGATTGTTTCCAGCAAATGAATTGATCACTTCTGGAACTTTCCATGTCATGCTTCTGGACTACATCGAACCAAGGGCAACTAAAATTTCAGAAAGCAACACCTTGGGTAGGAGGGCTGACCCTGTAGGGGTAGGTGGGGACCACCCTCTGCAGGACAGTGTTAGCGTGCCCTGCTGCGTCTGCGCACTGGAATGTTTGTACCTGCTCAAGAAAGTGGAGAGGAAGATCTCTGAGCGCTGATGAGACTCCTTCCCCACGTCAGAGATGCTGACATTCTCAGGACATGGTTGAAATAACAAAGCCACGAGTCCAGTACGACCGACCCTGTCACATAGCAGCAAGGAGAGCGGTTTCCAAGGGCAGAGTAGCAGCTTCCTGGTGGAGGGGCCTGGCGGCCATCCAGAAGGGGACGAGGAGGATGTGGCCCCAGTGCCACCCATGATCCTGAAGAAAGCCCGTCCTGTGGGAGGGAATGGAAGTGCCCAAGGGACATCACTGTGGCCCAGAGGTCTCTGTCCCACAAAAACTCCTGTGTTGAAACCTAATCCCCATGAGACGGAGGCAGGAGGGGGCCCCTGGAGGTGACAGGGCCAGAGGAAGCACCCCTTGTGTTGGGGCTGTGCCCTCACCAAAGGCCTCAGGGAACTCCTGGCCCCTCCACATGAGGACGTGGCCAGAGGGCATCGGCTAAGAGTGTCCTCCTCCGACCCCAGGTCTGTCGTGCCCTATCATCACTTCAGCCTCTGGAGCTGCGAGAAAGAGCGCTTGTTGTTTACAAGCTGAGGTCATTTGTTAGGGCTACTAGACGCGACAGGGACAGCTGTCGGGAGCTACCCTGGCTGCAGACACCTTTAGGTCCTGATACACCGGGTGCTGGACAATCACTGCGCCCCGCAGTCACCTGGGCTTTACCCCCTGGGATAGGAGGCGGCTCCAGGAGCAGGCGTCCCCCATGGGGTTGAGCTCCACTCACCTGTTCCTTTGTAATCCTTTTGGGGATAGAATGTTCCATGGAACCTGCCCTTGTGTCTCCTATATAAGAATCAAGAATTCCAGTGGCTTTCTCTTTCCAGGGACCCCTAAGGTTGCAGAGCTATCCTTGGGTTTTGAAAAGGCACTTCTGTGTGTTTGTATGCTTTCTTGGCTGTTTTCTTAAGTTATTGGAACAGTCAGAGCCCAGCATGAGGTTCCCAGTGAGGGTAGAAGGTGATGCTGAGCATGGACGGTGGATAGGAAACGGTGTGGCTCCAACGTCACTTCCTGATCTGGGGGGTGGGTATTGGGGTTTGAACCCAGGAGCTCTTCGCCACTGAGACCCATCCCCAGCCCTTTTTTGTATTTTATTTAGAGACAGGGTCTCCCTGAGTTGCTGAGGCCTCGCTAAGTTCCTGAGGTTGGCTTTGAACTTGAGAGCCTCCTGCCTCAGCCTCCTGAGTTGCCCAGATCACAGGCGAGTGCCACTGCGCCGGCTGCATTTCCTGAATTTGATAACCACCTGGTTGTGTAAAGAAAGCCTTTATTTTTAGGAGGTAAACCCGGACGTATTTAGGGGCGGGAGAATGACGCCTGCTCCGTACCCTCCAATTGCACATCTGCGGCGGGAAAGGGGCTGCCGTGACGAGGTGCCCCCAAACGGGGTGACTCAGAACAACAAAAACCTGGCCGTTCTGGAGGCTGAGGTCCAGGGTCAGGGTGTCGGCAGGCAGGACCAGCTGCTCGCCTCTCAGGGGCTTTGGGGGGCTGTGGCCACTGGGCTCCTTCTGGCAGCCGTCACTGCCAGGTCCCTCTGTGTCCGCATCGCCCGGTCCTCCCTGGGCGTCTGTGGGCTCCTCATGCAAGGACACCAGCCACCCCGCTGCACTGTGACCTCACCCTGACTGATGACATCAACATCAACCCTGTTTCCAAATCAGGTCACCGCCCAGGTTGTGGGGATAGGACATAGGGAGAGTGGACCGGGGGACAGAGGAGTCCAACCTAAAACCAGGGGCAGGAGAGAGGGAGAGAGAGGACAGCTCAGCCACGGAAATAAGAAACTAAACAGCCCAGAGAGGGGAGGGCTTCAGGGAAGGGGTGCAGCCCCATAAGGACAGAGACGCGGTCACTGGGTTTATGGGCTGTGGACCAGGTGCCGTGACCCGCTGCCTGGGCAGAGAGGTGGGGACAGGAAGCAGCCCTCGGGAACAGACAGACGGAGCTTCCCACTTCCCTCTGGGGAGGAGGGGGGCCTGCATGCAGAAAGGGACCGTCTTCAGCTGGCAGAGAAGCTCCGCCCACAGCCCGGAGAGAAGGAGGAGCGCAAGCTGCAAACAGGGACGTCATGGGCGGAAGCCAAAGAAGCAAAAATGTATTTTTATCTTATTAGTTTCTAAAGCGTGTGCTACACACCCTGTTCTAAGCACTTTGAAAACATGAATTCATTTTATTCCCATGGTGATGACGGGAGGTGGCTACAGTAGCACTGCTGTCCCCATCTTACAAATAAGGAAACTGAGGCACAGAAAGGGCAAGCACCTTCCCCAAGATCACACAGCCAGCAAAGGCAGGGCCACTTAAAGGGTGTGGGTGGTCAGGCTGCGGGATCCACACTTGACCTCTCCTCCCAGAGGCTTCTTTGTGCTTTGTTCTTAACAGGAGAGGCTGCAAGATGGGCCGTAGAGGGTTCAGGCTGGATGGGTCGCCTGGGGGTTTGAAAGAGGGGAGACTTAGAAGCAGGGGTGCTCATGGGAGGGGCAAATGTTAGAGAAACGGAGGGGTCACGGACTGAGGTCTGCGGTGAGGGATAGCGGTGAACTTCTGCGCGGCCGGGAGGCGGGAAGTGGGTCTCTTTCCCTGTTCACCGCCAGCTGCCAATCCAGAGGTGCTCTGGAGCCCTGGATCTGGTGCCACGGCCCAGCTGTGGTTCTGACCTGGGGCCCCTGACCAAAGTTCTGGGAACCAATCGTGTCCAGGGCAGCTGAGGGGGAGGGAAGCCCCTGGAAGGGTGTCCACGGGCCGCAGTCCAAAGGAAATGAGTGACATTCCAGGGACCGGCGCCAGAGGCCCAGGCTGGAGAGGTGGGGACTGGAGGGAAAGCTGCCTCCGGAGCCCGGGAGCGCCAGGGTAGGGTGGGGTGGTGGGGGGGAGGGCCTGCATGCACCCCCTCCCTCCACATTAACCTGAGAGTGAAGAGCAGCCCCCGGGAAAACCCGACCTTGATCCCAGGAACTGCTAATATGCAGCCTCCAGTGGCAAATGCGGGGCAGGTGCAGGGGTCAAGCTCAGGGTCTCCTTAATTACCCAGGTGAGCCCAGAGGCGGCAGGGAGTCTTAAGGCACAAAGGGTGGTCAAGCCCCGGGTGGGCGCAACCTGTAATCCCAGCGACTCCTGAGGCTAAGGCAGGAGGATGGCAAATTCCAGGCCAGCCTCAGCAATTTAGCAAGGCCCTAAGCAACTCAGCAAGAGCCTGTCTCATACATAAATAAATACATAAATAAGAGGCGGGAGGGGCAGAAGCAGAGGAGGGATCTGCTGAGGGGAGCCACAAAATGCCGCCCTCCAGGAACAGGCCAGCACACATCCTCCCTGGAGCCTCCCGAAGGAGCCAGCTGGGCCTCCCATCTTGTAGACTCTAATTTCCAGGACTGTCAGATAATAAGCACATGTCACCTCAGGCCACTAAATCTGCAGTAATTCGTTACCACAGTAGAAACTTGATATGGTCAATTTCTTCATCTTCCAGGTCCTCTGTTTCTTGGTCAGTAATTTGGGGACAATTTAGCTTGTAGCATGGTAAGAAGGGTCTGTGTGTGGGAAGGCGGCTGGCACACAGTAAGGGCTCAGTAAACAGCAACTGTAAACATGGGCGAGAAGGGGTTTCTTCCTTCTGCCTGCCTCAAATGTAGTGACACCCAGACGATGGCAGTCATTTTGCGGCCATTCAGTGAGAAGCAAAGGCCTGAAAGCCAATGTTTGTTTGTTTGCTTGCTTAGTATTGCAGTGCTCGGGTAGAACCCAGGTTCTCACGCATGCTAGGCGAGTGCTCTAGCTCGAGGCTACAATGCCCATGCCCCAAAGCTGATTATTAAAGATGGCGAGGCCAAGGGACCTAAAGAACCTGGGACATCAGATGTTACTGAACCAACTGCTGGATCGTCCTGCTTCTAGATCTTTTGTTATGTGAGAAAACCCGTGCCCACTTGCTTACATCCTGGCTCCTGTTCTTACAGCGAGCGTCTCTTTACTGATTTACTTTCAGAATCGAGCTAGGCCCAGAGAGCCAGAGGGGTGCTCGCCATCACATGGGCTGTGAATGGAGGGACTGGGACGGGCTTCAGGAGGGGACCTGTGGACCTTGAGACAAGTGGCCTTGATTCTTTAGAAAAAAATGAGGAATTGGGAGCATGAGTTTAGAACATGCAGCAGCTTGACCTGGGTTTGATGCCCAGTACAAAAAAAAAACTAAAGAAAAGAAAACCAGGGAGCTGAGCCCGTGTGTCAGCTGAGGAAGCCACGTCCCCTTGCCCCGCCAGATCTGTCTTGGGAAGAAAGCTGAGCCTGTCACCGTTTGATGGATAGTTAAAATTTTTAATCAGCATGTTCTCAGGAGAGCTTTTACCTTCAAAGGTCAATTTCTTAAATTCCAGCCTGGGCTCGTCCCTTCTTGCAAAACTTGAAAAGCAAGGGAGATGCTATCCTTCCTCCATTGCATGGGGAGGGGAGGGGAGGGGAGGGGGGATAGTAGAGGATAGGAAAGGCAGCAGAACACAACAGACACTAGTATGGCAATATGTAAATCAATGGATGTGTAACTGATGTGATTCTGCAATCTGTGTATGGGGTAAAAATGGGAGTTCATAAGCCACTTGAATCAAAGTGTGAAATATGATATACCAAGAACTATGTAATGTTTTGAACAGCCAACAATAAAAAATTTTTTTAAAAAAAAAGAAAAAAAGAAAAGCAAGGGAGAATATAAGAGCACAAATCGGTTCACACTCAGGTAAAGCGGAGCCTGGGGCTCCAGCCTCCGTGGAGTGTTCTGGAACAATGGCAAATGGGTACTGAGGTCAATGATCACAGGCCCCTTCCTGCGGAGGAGTGAACCAGTGTCTCTCCTCTGACCTTTACTCCTTGATAATAAGCCTGAGCACTTATAGAATATTGCAGAGCAAAAGTCTGAAGCAAATATTTCCTATCACTGCTTTTTAAATACCCTGTGTGGCTTAACTGAAGCATTTTCGATGAACACCAGGTGAGCTGTTTTTATTTATTTATGTTTTGGTACCAGGGATTAAACCCAGAGATGCATAACCACTGAGCCACATCTCCAGCCCTTTTCTGTATCTTATTTAGAGACAGGGTCTCACTGAATTGCTTAGGGCCTAGATAAATTGTGGAAGCTGGCCTTGAATTTGTGATCCTCCTGCCTCAGCCTCCCAAGCCACCAGGGTTACAGGCATGCGTCACCATATCCCATGGAGAGCAGTTTTTACAATGGTCAATATGTGAGCATGACAGTGGGGAGTCTGAAATAAACAAATAAACAAATCAAAAACAGAGAGTAAATAGTGACCCCAGGCTTGGCTTTAATAAATATCAAAACATATTATGAACCTGATAATTATTACAGGTCACTACAGACTGAAGAAAAGGAGAATATAGACTGTGGAAGCAGCATTATCAACTTACAAGCACAATTTTCAACATGGGTAGGATTTAAAAGTGGCACCAAAAATATGAATTGTTGAAAAACTGGTGTTGTCAATGATGCGGGAGGCTGAGGCAGGAGGATCACAAGATTGAGGCCAGCCTCAGCAACTTAGTGTGAGACCCTGTCTCAAAACAAAAAGGGCTGGGGATGTAGCTCAGTGGAAAAGCACTCCTGGGCTCAGTCCCCAGCACCAACAAAAGGGGGAGAGCCTAGTTAAAATAAACTGTGGTACCACTATAGGAAGATGGAACTGTCCAGAGACATTAAAAAGAGGAGTTTAGGTATAGAACGGTAGAAAGGGATTTCTAAAATATTTTATTAGGTGAAAAATATCAAGGTTCAAACTATGGTGCTTTATAAGAAGAGCAAAATATTGTCCAGAAGCGGCAGGAAACATTTCCAAGAAATGGAAAAAAAAAACAAAAAACCCCACCACCAAAAGTGATGGTTTGCTTTTGCTTTTGATGGTGGGGTTTTTTTGTGTGTGTGTGGGGGAGGGTACCAGGATTTGAACTCGGGGGCACTCAACCACTAAGCCCATCCGCAGCCCTATTATTTATTTTATTTAGAGACAGGATCTCACTGAGTTGCTTAGTGCCTCACCACTGCAGTTGTTGAGGCTGGCTTTGAACTTGGGATCCTCCTGCCTCAGCCCCTGGAGCCACTGGGATGTCAGGTGTGCACCCCTGGTGCCTGGCTTGAAGTGGCACCCCCTTTCTCCACAGAAAAGTCCTAACTGGGCTGCTTTAGAAATCATCACCTTGGCTGATTTTAGGACTGTCAGCAAAAGAGTCCATCGTAGATAAACTTCCCATTTTCCTGTCGCCCTGTTTACTTGGCCACTGGCGGAGAAGATACCAGCCCTCCAGGTGCTGAACACCCCTCACTAGTTTTCACAAACATGTATCCAGTAGAGTACTTTGTAGAAATGTGTAAACTAGGCCTCTGGCCTTGAGCAGGGCTTCACAGAGATGTCTACCTTTTTAAGATAAGTTACAAATGGGCTCCATGGTAACAGCTGGCAGGGGGAGGAAGGAGAGGGGAGGAGAGGCTCTCCCCTTCTCAGTCAGGTGTTGTCCTTGAAGGGTTAACTTGCCCACAACAGTGAAAGAAAAAGCTGCTTTATGTGAACTTCTGCAGACTGTGAACTTCGGAGCCCCTCCCCTTACATGCTGGGTATAAAACCCTGAAACTCCCTGAACTCGGGGTTCAGGGGATTGATTGATGACAGCAAAGGCTGTGCCCTCTGAACCTGTGTCCTGCTGTCTTTGGTGCCTTGCCTCGTCTGTCCTACCACAGGCTCACGTGATCACTTTTGTATAAATGAAAGAGAATACATATACATATCAGTTATGTAGCAACCTTTTTTCTTTCTTTCTTTCTGGAAGGCGGTTGCTTCTTGGGGAGATGGGGTGGAAGGGAGGGAGGGCCTTTCTCAAGTCCCCAGCTGTAGCTCTTGCTCACCATTTCAGAATGCTGATGTGGACAGACAGTAGGACACTTCTCATTTTCTCTGTACTTCTTTACATTAAAACAACACCATCATACTTTAAAATGAAAAAAAAAAAAATTACATTAACCCCAAACCATGTTTACTAATATTGCTCAGTTAACCAGATTTTTCTGCATTTCTTGGAAATGTTTCCTGCCGCTTCTGGACAAATATTTGCTCTTCTCATAAAGCACCCTTGTTTGGGAAGCTGTGTCCCTGCCTGTGCCCGGTTGGTTAGTTTCAGGCTTTTTTTTTTTTTTCTTGGTGGGGGCCTGTTTGTGCCTGAAAAACTCTGCAGAGCATTTCTGCAAAGCCCATGCCTGGTCACGCTCGATCCCAGGGACAGGAAGCCTGAGGCACGGCTGCCATGGAGAAGGGAGCCTGGTCCCTCGTCACAGTGCCATAAATACAAGTGAATGTGCACCAAATCAGGACACAATCACGGGTCCAGGGCAGCGCCTGCGGGCACCATTCACCAGTGACTGTGACATCCAGCTGAGCTGTGGGAACAGCTGCAGGAGCCCTGCTTACTCCACAGCAAAACAAAATCCCTCCTGCCTCTGCACCAGCCCCTGGGGCTCGGTGGGGCAGGGCGAGAGGGGCGGTGGAGAAACAGTCGCCATAGGAACGTAACCCGGGTCGTCACTGTGCAATTTTTCCAACTGTTTGGTGCCCCCAAATGTGGGATTTTTTTTTTTTTGGTGCTGGAGGGGTGCAGGGCTCTCAGGGGTGCTAACTGGGCACAGGTTCTTCCACTGCGCTCCACCCCAGCCCCCAGAATTTTGGCTTTGATGAAGGCAGTGTCGCCAACCCCCTGGCAAGACAAGAGCCAAGCCATCAAACATCTAGAAAAGCTAGATTCCTGTGTTCCTGTCACCAAAATAAACTTCAGATGGATCAAAGATTGAAATGTAAACTAGAAAACCACCCAGGGCTCCAAAAAAATTTGGTGAATCAATATATAGTCTTGGTGGGAAGAGGGGGATATTTTCTTAGGCAGAGAAACAAACCCCAACAACTCCGAGGAATAAGCTCCGTACATTCGTATTTTGAAAGTTGCACGTGGTCCAAAAATAAAAAAGGCAAAACTGTGAGTGCATATGCTGGAAGTCATTCCATTGATGTGTCCCTGCTCTTTTTATTTCTAACATCTTCTTAAGCAACCTGTATAAGGAGTTTATTTTAATTTTTTTCTAACATTTAAATTAGTGTTTGCCTGGCAGGCTGTGGTGGGAGGGTCACCTGAACTCAAGAGTTTGAGGCGAGCCTGGGGACCCCAGTGAGACCCCATCTAAAAAATAAAAATATGGTAAATAAAGCATTGCTTTTCCTGTGCATTTTAATCTGTGGAATGCATATCTTTTTCTTTCACTAACATCCTGGATCCAGCAATCCCATAACAGTGTTTAGACAACTGCCTCTTCTCACCCCTATTTCATGATCCAGAGGATCCGGGTGGGGAGGGGGTGATGGGAACCTTGTAAAACTGTTTCTGAGCAGAATGCAAAACTCCTCACATCCCCTGATCCACACCCAGCCCCGGCCAGAACACAAGCCCCGTGTTCCCCTCGTTGCACAATCGCTTGTTGTTCTGAAGCTCATATGTCACCAGGCCGAGGCTGTCCTTGGCAGGCGCTGCCACTCAGAGCCCAAGGAATGTGGCCGCGGCAGCTGCCGGCTTGGACCCTCCTGCGAGGACGCCTGGGGCCAGGGTGCTGGGGTCGGGTGCTCCGGGTCTTATTTGGCAACAGATTTACAGGAGTCAATCAGATGAATGTGGTCTTGGCTCCCAGCACATTTTGTTTTTAGGTCACAGTGGTCTGACTTTTATTTTAAAATAGGAGCCATGTAAAGATGCAAACAAGAAGTGACCCAGCAGCTCATGGCCAAAATAGCCCTTAGACAGTTTAAAATAAGATAGGCAGTGTTAGGCATTCACACGGAGCAGCCCCGAAAATAGAACGCCACCCCGCCCTGTTTGTCCCCTACTCCCCAAAGCAGAACGACAGCAGGTTCTCATTTTCCTTCCAAAAGAGGAAAAAATATTTACATATATATATACCAGCATATATATATATATATATATATATACCAGCATATATATATATATGCTCTGTATAAATAGGCACGTATCGCACATGCATGCATGTGTATGTATGCGTGTGCATGTACACGTATGTTGATCTGTATTTTGTGCCCTTGCGAATACACAGGAGTGTATCTGTAAATACAGGCGTATAATTGGTTTTAATGTTCACGTGTCTTTGCATGTTTGTGTGTATACTGTGGCCTAAATGCAGTGAAATAATGACATACTAAATATGGTTCTTTTAAAATTTTTCTTGTGATGCTGGAGATTGAACCAAGGACTTCGTGCATGCTAAGCAAGTGCTCTACCCTTGAGCTATATCACCATCCCTAAATTTGGCTCTTTAAGGTCATTTCATGGACTATTAAGAATTATAGGGCAGTAACTCAGTTGGTAGAGTGCTTGCCTCGCACACACAAGGCCCTGGGTTCAATCCCCAACACCACACACACAAACAAACAAACAAAAATTATATAATATTAACTGGATGAGGGGAAGTGGCACATACCTGTAATCCCTGTGGCTTGGGAGGCTGAGGCAAGAGGATCACAAGTTCGAAGCCAGCAATTCAGTGAGACCCTCTCTGTCAATATAAAAAAAACATAAAAAAGGACTGAGGTTGTGGTTCAGTGGAACTATTAATTATATAATTATTATAATAAAATAATTCTGTAAGATGAGAATCATAGTAAATCACAATAAAGCCCGATCTCTATTAATTGTTCTTACTTAATTACTTTAAATGTTAACTTCAGCTCCATCTCGCTCAAAGAGGGTATAACGACTTTCTGACAGGAACAGACACCATATTCTCTGATATGCACCTCTATTTCTCTCTATAAATAGTTGTAAGCCTGTTAATAGTTGTTTTGGTCTCAAAATCAGCATATTTCACAATGATCATTTATGACTGCAGCATTTCACTCTATTAATTTTTATTCGGATTTATTTTTTATTTGTTCTAATTAGTTATACGTGACAGTAGAATGCACTTTGATACATCATACATAGATGGTGTGTAATTTCTCATTCTTCCAGTTGTACATGATGTAGAATCCCACCAGTCATGTAGTTCTATAAGCATTGACGTGGCTGCGTCACTACAGTGTGCTGATTTTAAGTCCTTTAGGAATAAACCGAGGAGCGGGATAGCTGGTTTAATGGTGGTTCCAAGTTTTCTGAGGAATCTCCGTACTGCTTTCCATAATGGTTGCACCAATTTGCATTCCCACCAGCAATGTATGAGTGTGCCTTTTCCCCACATCCTTGCCCACATTTATTGTTTGTATTCTTGATGATTGCCATTCTGATTGGGGCGAGATGAAATCTTAGTTTTGATTTTTTTTCTCTAATTGCTAGAGATGTTGAACATTTTTTCATATATTTGTTGATCATTTGTATTTCTTCTTCTGTGAAGAGTCAATTCAATTCCTTAGCCCATTTATTGACTGGGTTATTTGGTTTTTTGAGTTCTTTATAGATCCTGGAGATTAATGCTGCATCTGAGGTGCCTGTGGTAAAGATTTTCTCCCATTCTGTAGGCTCTCTCCTCACATTACTTATTGTTTTCTTTGTTAAGAAGCTTTTTAGTTGGAATCCATCCCATTTATTGATTCTTGATTTTACTTCTTGCTTTAGAAGTCTTGTTAGGGAAGTCAGATCCTAGGGTGACATGGCAGAGATTTGGGCCTACTTTTTCTTCTATTAGGTGCAGAGTCTCTATCTGGTGCCTATGTCTTTAATCCACTTTGAGTTGAGTTTCGTGCAGGGTGAGAGATGGGGGTTTATTCATTTTGTTACATGTGGATTTCCAATTTTCCCAGCACTATTTGTTGAAGAGGCTATCTTTTCTCCAGTGAATGTTTTGGTGCCTTTGTCTAATACAAGATAACTGTATTTATGTGGGTTTGTCTCTGTCTTCTATTCTGTACCATTGGTCCACATGTCTAATTTGGTGCCAATACCACACCATTTTTATTACTATTGCTTTGTAGTATAGTTTAAGGTCTGGTATTGTGATGCCTCCTGCTTCACTCTTCTTGCTGAGGATTGCTTTGGCTATTCTGGGTCTTTTATTATTCCAAATTAATTTCATGATTGCTTTTTCTAGTTCTATGAAGAATGTCATTGAGATTTTAATAGGAATTGCATTAAATCTATATAACGTTTTGGTAGCATGGCCATTTTGACAACATTAATTATCCAGGAGCATGGGAGATCTTTCCATCTTCTAAGGTCTTATTCTAGGTCTTTCTTTAGTGTTCTGTCATTTTCACTGTAGAGGTCTTTCACCTTTCTTGTTAGATTGATTCCGAAGTATTTTATTATTTTTTGAGGCTATTGTGAATGGAGTGGATTCATCGTTGATGTATAGCAATCGTTTGATTTATGGGTGTTGATTTTATAACCTGCTACTTTGCTGAATTCATTTATGAGTTCTAGAAGTTTTCTGGTGGAATTTTTTGGATCTTCTAAATATAGAATCATGGCATCAGCAAATAGTGATAGTCTGAGTTCTTCTTTTCCTATTTATATGCTTTTAATTTCTTTCTCCTGTCTGATTGCTCTGGCTAGAGCTTCAAGGACGATGTTGAATAGAATTGGTGAAAGGGCATTCCACATTTCACTCTTGCCGTATAAGTTATTCTTTCATAATTCAACTGAAAAAAATTAACATATAAAGAACACAAGGAGAATTTCATTCCTGTTACCTCAAGAACTATAAGCCAGGTAGGGTGTGTTCAGACACTGACAGAGATCTGCTTGGTGTCTGCACCAAGCATGGGATCAGCTGGGCAGTCGCCTAGGCAACCATGGCATCTCTGGCCCTGCTTGGGTCAGGGAGGTGAAGGTGGCGCAGATGGTTGGAGACACTTGGCTCTCCAAACACTGAACCCAAGGCTAAAGCCACATTTTCACATCTGAAGTAGACTGTGCTGATTGTGCTGTGAATTTCATTGTTTTCTACCCCTTTCCTTAGTGTTTAGTCTCTGAACTCCATATTTGTTTCTATGCAGAAATTTCATTAATTTCCAAATTACAGAAAGTATTGGGAATGAATAAGGAAGCAGAGAACTTTCTTTGTTTCTTCCCCTTCCTGGCTAATTGGAGTTCAGATTTGATGACTGGAGCTAACGCAGTCATTTTAGACCATGAGACAGAAGTCACCTGATAGAGAAAAGCAGAGTCACAAGTTAGAAGGAAGGAGCTCCTCAGGGTTGTGGAGCTACATGGCATCCTGGAAATGCCAGCCTTCAGATCGCCGCCTCTCATAAGCACTTTTTCATTAAGCATTCATATCTTTCATTTCTACAGTGTATTAAATGCATGTTCTTATCATATTCAAGGACAATTATAATTTCCAGGAAAAAGATCAAAAGGCATTATTTGAGCTATGCAGAATTTGCCAATTTCTTTTCCATCTTTACCCATTTATATACTAAAATGAAAGCAGTGTTTTTAAAACTTTTGATTATTTATGTTGACAGTCAATCATCCTGCACCCTGGACAAGTGACTCAAGACACCAAGATTAATTGAATTCTAAGAGTCATATGAGATCAACAACTATCATTCATACCCTCGATTCTAACCAGCATTTCTGAGATCGTTGATCATTATGACTGAGGGTCAAAATAAAATGTCCAAAAAAATCATAGCACCACACTAACGTTTTTAGCTCTTTGAAAAACTGAATGTTGATTAGTCTTTATTTTATTTTAGTTTGCTGGTACAGGGATTGAACCCATGGCGGTCTACCACTGAGCTACATTCTCAGTCCTCCTCTTTCTTTCTTTCAAATAGGGCTTCGCTATATTGCTGAGGCTAGCCTTGATTTTTGATCCTCCTGTCCTAGCCTCCCAACTCACTGGGATTATAGGCAGGAGCCCCCATGCCTGTTTTAGAGTCTATTATTTTAAAAATAATTTGAAGTTGTCTCAAAATAAAATAAAACAGCTGGGGATGTAGCTCAGTGGTAGAGCACTCTGGGTTCAATCCTCTATACAAAAACAAACAAAAATTGTTCATGCATGCTGGGAAACTGACAAAGCACAAGAGGTCAAAACCAAACCCTGAGGGCTCCAGTTGCCCCCTCTGCCTTCTTTCCCTCCATCACTCCAAACACATTCACTGTATTAAAAAAAAAAAAAAAAATCCATACCTTCCTGAAACAAAGAGGGGGTGGGGCTCAGTGGCAGAGTCTTGTCACTCTGTGGGAGGCCCTGGGTTCCATTCTCAGCTCCAAAAAATTTAAATAAATATTTTTGGTACTGGGGTTGGAACCCAGGAGTGCTTTAGTACTGAGTTACATCTCCAGCCCTTTTTATTTTTTATTTTGAGACAGTCTCCCTAAATTGCTGAGTCTGGCTTGAACTTGGGATCCTCCTGCCTCTGCCTCAGGTCGCTGGGAACACAGGCAGGCGCCACCATGCCCAGCCTGGTGCATCTGTTTTTGGAGTGTGCTTTGTGCACTAGTGGGTGTGCCTGCGTTGGCACTGCCTGTGCAAGGTGGGGTGGGGAATGGGGAGGGGCTGACCTTGCCTGGCACTAGTTACATAGGTGTGCTCTGTTGGTGAAAATGTGCCCAGATGAACGCTCTGGATACACTTAGATTTTAGCCAGCTTTGTCACTGTGACCAAAAGACCTAAGAAGAAAAACTAGGGGAGGAAAAACTTCTGTTGGCTCAGAAGTCCTAGTCCATAGATGGCCGGCCATTCCCCGGCTCTGGGTCCTGGTGAGACAGGACATCAGAGCAGAAGGGTGTGGAGGAGGAAGGCAGTTCAGGACATGGCAATCAGGAAGCAGAGGGACAAAATATAAACCCCAAAGGCATGCCCCCAGTGATCCACCTCCTCCAGCCACACCTCACCTGCCTATAGTCACCACCCTGTCGACCCACATGAGTGGATTAATCCACAGATTGGATTACAACTCTCACAATCCAATTGCTTCACCTCTGAATGTTCGCACACGAGGTTTTGGGGGACACCTGATAATCTAAACCATAACAATTTACTTTTCAATAAAAAAGTTCTAAAATGTGGCCTACCAGGTGTGGTGGTGCACACCTATAATCCCAGTGGCTTGGGAGGCTGAGGCAGGAGGATCACAAGTTTAACACCAGCCTCAGCAACTCAGTGAGACCCTGTCTGTGAATAAAAGATAAAAAGGGCCGGGAATGTGGCTCAGTGGTTAGTGCCCCTGGGTTCAATCCCGGCACTAAATAAATAAATAAATAAATAGCGGACTGGACGTCAGCAGCCAGCCAGGTCATCCCAACCACTGCGTGACATTCCTCTCTGTCGTCCCATAAATGACGTAACCCGATTGCTTCCAATGGCCGTGTCTTTTATAAAATCCTCGTGACGCGCATCTCGGGCGCGCCTCTGCGGCACAGCCGGTGCATGTCGGGCCTTGACCGCTGGAGCCCCATGTCCCGCCCCGGAAGGAGATGCCAATTTTCGGGCCTAAGCGACCCGTCCTTCCGGCCCCAGCGCTGGGCTCCCTGGACATTTCGGGGGCGGGGGGGGGGCCGGGGGGTCACCAAGTGGAATCTGGATGATGGGACTGCGCGACGTCCGG